AACATCAGGAGGCTTAGAAAATCTTAAAAAAATCTTAGAAAATCTTAAAAAAATCTTAGAAAATCTTAAAAAATCTTAGAAAAATCTTAAAAAAATCTTAGAAAAAAATCTTAGAAAATCTTTAAAAATCAAGGTGACACAACCCCAGTGCTGTTAGCAGGGAGCCAGCACAAGGTGGAATCGTCCCCACATTTCTCTTTTCCTTCTTTGCTCCTTTCTCCCCCCATCTTGCTTTCCTACAAAAGGGAAAACTCTTAAAACAGTGCAGGGCCAGGTGTGATGGGGAAGGAGGAGGTGAATAAATCCATTTAAAAGTGCCCAGAGCTGTGGGATGTGCACAGGAGCATCTCCCCAAGGCCCAGCGAGGTGAGTAAATCCCTCTGGAGCTCTGGGAAGCCCAAATGTGCATTTTCCCTCTCTCTGGAGCAGGAGATGGAGCTCCAAGCTGTGCCTGGTCCCTGCTCAGCCCCGGAGCTCTCTGCTCACTGTCTCTGTCAGCTCTGGGCTTTGTTTTTCCCTCTAACACATATTTCAGCCATGTGGTTTGCAATGAGAAGAGCAGCTGAGCGATCTGTGCACCACATTTACCCGGCAAATTGGGCATTTCTGAAGTCTTTTTAATTTTGGGTTATTGCAGAGTGATTTTGTTTGATTATTTTATTTTTTCTGGACGTGTTGTACACTTCCTACAGCAGCGAGGGCTGGATTTTCTGGAGGCAGAGAGGGCTGTGGGTCAGGGCAGAGCTGTGGAAGCTGTTCACTTGGCTGTACACTGTGATGCCGAAAATCTGTCTCAGAGGAACGCAGAAAAATAGGATACACCTCTGGCTTTGTCCTGAGTGCAAGCGGGATGAGGCGAAGGATACCCGAGCACCTTCATGCTGCCCTCAGGCTCTGTTTGTTTGCCTTGATTGCTTCCAACTGGCTGAGCGGGGCCAGGCCCTTTCCAAGAGCTGTAACCCAAGTGGAAAATGCTTTCATAAAGAAGGCAAAGTAAATCTCGCTAAATGACAAAGACAACAAAACATTCCTGCTTGAAATCTAGCAATAAATACCTCGTGTGCTGATGAGTCTGCGTCTGGAGCCCCGAGTGCCAGAGGATCTTGTTTAAATCAGAATTGGCCGAGTCTTTGTTAATCGTAATTAAAAATCAGCAAGCAGGAAACAACAGATGCTAATCAGAGTTTAATTCTTGTCTTGGACTCCCCTGAGTTGATTCTCAGGGGTGATTGCTCAGGTGCAGAGCAGTTCTGCAGCTACTACGCTAAACAAACACGGGTAGGGAGTTGTGTTGTGGCTTTTTGCTGGGCTTTGTCTGTCTTGTTTGTTTTTAAATTATCTGTCACAGCACACTAATTAAAAATGCCTTGGCTGGGATGTGTTGGCTGTACCTCCTTGTCTCAGTCCTCTTTTTCTCATGCTCCTTCTAGTCACAGTTGCAGGAAAATAGGCTTTCCTACCAGTTTTAGAGTTTTAACTGGATTTTTCAGCTTCTATCAGGTGCAACATTCTTGAAGACCAAAGCTGTGCACATCAGCTTTGTGCTGGGAGCTGCTTCTCAGAAATTCAAACCCCTGAAATGGGAGTCACTTGTTAACCAAGTAATTAACTGGAAAACCCATTGAATTTTAAACCTAATTTGCATGCAGCTATTTGTGATTTCATGCTGTCTGTGCACTGGAGAATGCTTCAGTTCTTAATTGAAAATATTGTTTGCTCACTTCAGAAGCCTCTCTTGCCTTTCAGCAGGAGCTGGTAGCTTGTTTCTGTCAGAGAGTAAAACATATAAATAAACGAACTATAAATAAATGGACAAACCTGGAGCAGCCAGAGCACCCCTGGAGCTGATTTTGCACTGAGTGATGCTGTCAAACTGAAATCCAGTGACAACCCAAAGGCACAGAACCACTGCAGGCTGAGCTGTTTCATCAATAAACAAGCCAGCGTGTTCTGGACCTTTAATTTATGGAAATCTGTCCCACCAGGCCCTGTCCAAAGCGAGGAATGTCTTCTGGTTTTGTGCTTCTGGCTTGTTTTTCCTTCCCCCTCCCCTTAACAGCAGTTGTGGGCTGGCCTGGGTGGGAGCACAAATCTCCCAAACAAGGCTGGAGCGAGCCCTGCAGGCTCTGATGTGAGATAAAGATGTGATGCATTAGCGTTTGTCAGAGCACACCGAGTCCCTCAAGGGTCTCCAAGGGGCAGGGAAGGATTCTTTCCAAGCCTGCCCTCCTCACCCCTATTCCCAAAGGGCTCCTAAAGAAAGGGCCGGAATGTTTGGCCAGGTTTGCTGCGTCTCCTGAACATGAGTGGGAATATGGAATCCATCTGCTGTCTTTGGCCACGCTTCCCGCTTGGCTCCGTGGCACAGAAACCTGAGAGCTCCGGCTGGGCCCATAAATCCAGTTTGGACACTTTGTGCAGGGGAGAGCAGGGATTTCTGCAGGAACAGCAGGCACTGAGGGAGCTCCAGCAGGGAGGGAATTGTTCTCCTGCACAGTGGCTGTGCCCCACACTGATTCCTTGGTGGGCTCAAACTCCACTTACAAGAAGTGACGCTAACGAGGCTGCAGGGGAAACCAAATTCCCATGGGGAAATGAAATCTTCCTGCAAACAGAAAACCCAAATGGGTTTTTTAAAGCATTCCTGTTGCCCTGAAGGGGTGTCCAGCACTTGCTGAGCTTCAGGAGAATCAGGATTTTTTCACAGAATTTGGGGAGGCACTGGATTTTTACTGGAATGCTGAGAACTGAGCACTGAAGTTGGGAAACGTCCCACTGAAAACCCAGCAGGCTGGAGTCTGGACTGAGCAGGGGAAGAGTCCAATTTCCTGATCTGGCTCTTAGGAAAGCTGCTCAGCAGGCTGGAAAACAAAGGAGAATCTCTGCCTTCAGTCCAATCAGGAAAATATTCCAGTTACAATTCTGGAGGAGATGCAGAATTCAAAGTGATTTATGTAATACCCATGGAGATACACGCACATATATATAAAATAAAAATAATTCTTCTTCCTAGGAACTGCAGCAGCTCAGCAAGCAATACAGCAACATCAAGCTCCTGCAACTGGGTGAGTAAAGGGTTTTATTTCTGAAATTTGTTCAGCTTAGGTGAGTGCATCTCAAAAAAACTGGTGTCCTGAGTGATCAGTAGCTGAAAATCATCTTAATATAACACTGGGGAAATGTAATTCTGTAAAATCTGTGCATTTTCACCTTTATGCTGCCCAAACATCCCCAGTGAGCCTCAGCTTTGGTTTGGCACACCCTGCACCGCTCACCTGGAGCTTTTCCTGCCTCCCCTGTGCAGATGTGGTCTGCGAGAACAGCATCAAGAAAGTGGTGAAGGAAGTGGAAGAAATAGTGGGAGACAAAGGGCTGAACTGCCTGATCAACAACGCCGGCATCAACGTGCTGGCCTCGCTGGAGGAGGTCACGGCAGAGACCATGCTCACCATTTACGAGACCAACACCGTGGCCCAGCTGATGGTCACCAAGGTGAGCAGGGATGGGCTCAGCCTGGCGATTTTCCACATTTGAGCTGGAATTGTGCAGGTGTTTGTCCCCTTGGAGCTGCACAGAGACAGTTCTGACACAGAGCTGCTGTCTGTGCACTGGTGTGGGGTCACTTTGTGGCAGAGGGGTGTTGTGTTTGCAGGGAGGAGTGATGGATCTGACTCCATGTTCTCATGGAGTAGTAATAAATTAACCTTCTGAGGTAAGTTGACCTCAGAAGGTTCATTTATTAATTTAGGATACTACATTATATTAAATAACACTACACTATACTATACTATACTACACTATACTATACTACACTATACTATACTATACTACACTATACTATACTATACTATACTATACTATACTATACTATACTATACTATACTAAGGAATACAGAAAGAGTACTTACAGAAGGCTAAAAAAATATAATAATAAAAACTTGTGACTCTTTCCAGAGTCCCAACACAGATTGCCCAAAGAGTGAAAACAGCTCACAGCAGAAACCAATGAAACAATCACCTGTGGGTAAACAATCTCCAAACACATTCCAAAGCAGCAAAACAGAGGAGAAGCAAATGAGATAAAAATTGTTTTCCTTTTCTATGAGGCCTCCTCAGCTTCCCAGGAGAAAAATCCGGAGCCAAGGGATTTTTCAGAGAATGTGAATGTGACAGTGGGGACAATACAGAAAGGGTATTTACAGAAGGCTAAAAAGATAATAATGAAAATTTGTGACTCTTTCCAGAGTCCAGACACAGCTTGGACCCAATTGGCCAAGGAGTCAAAACACCTCACAGCAGAATCCAATGAAACAATCTCCAAACACATTCCACATGAGCAAAACAGAGGAGAAGCAAATGAGACAAGAATTGTTTTCCTTTTCTCTGAGGCTCCTCGGCTTCCCAGGAGAAAAATCCTGGGCGAAGGGATTTTTCAGAGCATGTGAATGTGACAGTGGGGATGGGAGGTGGGCACAAGAGGCTGCTGGAGGAAGGTCTGCTCTGGCCATGGGGTGTGAGGAGCCACCACTACACTGTGCTGGGGTTCTTGCTCTGGATGAGGGAATGATCCAGCTCCAACCCAAATCACCAAATGAAGCAAACTCTGCTTTCCACAGGCGTTCCTCCCGCTGCTGAGGAAGGCAGCACAGCTGGGCACCGGCATGGGCTGCCACAGAGCTGCCATCATCAACATGTCCTCCCTGGCGGCCTCCATGCAGCTCGTCCAGGCCAACGAGATGTTCCTCAAGGTCTATCCCTACAGGATAGCAAAGGTCTGTGGGTGCTGGGGTGGTGTTATCAGGGGTCCCGGGATGAGGGAAGAGATGAGAATCTTGACTCTGTGTTTCACAAGGCTGACTTATTATTTTATGATATATATTATATTAAAAGTAAATTGATATGTATTATATTAATGATGATATATATTATATTAAAAGTATAGAAGGCTGATTTATTATTTTGTGATATATATTATATTAAAAGTAAATTGATATATANAGCCCCAGCAGTGGCACACGCTGGACCCCGAGCTGGAGGAGATCCTCATCCCCAGGAAACTCTCCATCAGCCCCTTGGAGAGCTGGCTCACCGTCAGGTACTCCCTCCCCAGGGCTCAGCAAGAAACCGGCCATGAGCAGCCCGAGCCCCTGGAGTGTCCCCCTGCTGCAGGGACGGGGCAGCTGGAGGAAGGAGAGGGGGCTCAGGGTGACAGGGTGCAGTGCAGGAACGTGCTCAAGATCCGCAGGAGGAAGATGAACAGGCACAAGTACAAGAAGCTGCTCAAGAGGAGGAAGTTCATCCGCAGGAGGGTAAAGGAGGGGCGCAAGAGGAAGCGGCAGGTGAGCCCTCACCTCAGAGCAGCCTCTGGGCACGTGCTGGGGGATGGATTGAAGTGGATTTAGGGAAAACAGAGCTTGGATGAACTCAGCTTGACTTTCCCTGCAAAACTGAGAAAGCTGGTTTAAGAAAACCAGCTGATACATCACTTTTGGGTCAAACCCTAAATTTTTTTGTCTTGCTCCTTGCATGGGAGACTTGTCCCTCTTGAATGTAGCTTTATTTTATTTATTTAGCCATTGAATGTAGCTTTATTTTATTTATTTAGCCAGGAGAGGGGGAGCTCCCTGACAGAAATGTGTCCACACATCAAACCAGCCTCTNTGTGATATATATTATATTAAAAGTAAATTGATATATATTATATTAATGATGATATATATTATATTAAAAGTATAGAAGGCTGATTTATTATTTTGAGATATATATTATATTAAAAGTAAATTAATATATATTATATTAAAAGTATATATTACATAATTATGATATATATTATATTAAAAGTATACTAAAACTATTCTAAAAGAATAGAAGAAAGGATTTCATCAGAAGGCTTGAAAATAATAGAAATAGAATGATAATAAAATCTTGTGACTGACCACACAGTCCAAGACAGCCGGACTGTGATTGGCCATTAATAAAAAAACAACCACATGAGACCAATCAAAGCTGCACCTGTTGCATTCCACAGCAGCAGATAATCATTGTTTACATTTAGTTTCTGAGGCCTCTCAGGAAAATCCTAGCAAAAGGATTTTTCATAAAAAATATCACAGCTACAGGCTGCCCTGGGCTGTGCTCCCTGGCTGAGGGCAGGTGGAGCCACGCTGGCCTTAGCAAGGGGTGCAGAACCTCTGTGGGCACAAAAAGTGTTCTTGTTCTTCACGTGGGTGGAAATGGGAGCTGTGGAACGCTGAAAGTGGAGCAAATCCTGGAGAACAGGCTCCCAAATCCCTGCTCTGGTACAGATCCACTCCTGAGGGGTTTGGCACTCAGGGAAGAGCTGGTGCCATGGAGTGTGAGAGAATGGGCTCCCAAATCCCTGCTCTGACACAGATCCACTCCTGAGGGGTTTGGCACTCAGGGAAGAGCTGATGCCATTGGGTGTGAGAGAACAGGCTCCCAAATCCCTGCTCTGGTACAGATCTACTCCCAAAGGATTCAGGGAAGAGCTGATGCCATTGGGTGTGAGAGAACAGGCTCCCAAATCCCTGCTCTGACACAGATCCACTCCTGAGGGGTTCAGGGAAGAGCTGGTGCCATGGAGTGTGAGAGAACGGGCTCCCAAATCCCTGCTCTGGTACAGATCCACTCCTGAGGGATTCAGGGAAGAGCTGATGCCATTGGGTGTGAGAGAAGAGGCTCCCAAATCCCTGCTCTGACACAGATCCATTCCCGAGGGGTTTGGCACTCAGGGAAGAGCTGATGCCATTGGGTGTGAGAGAAAGGGCTCCCAAATCCCTGCTCTGACACAGATCCACTCCCGAGGGGTTTGGCACTCAGGGAAGAGCTGGTGCCATCGAGTGTGGGCTCCATCAGCTGCGTTCCTCTCCCATCCCAGAGAGAGAGCAGGAAACTCAGCAAAAGGTGTGCTGACCCCTGTGGTGATGTCAGTCAGTGACAGGTGGGATTTTCAGTTTTCTCACATCCAGGGATTGAGTTTGTACAGATAGTCAGGATCACACATACAGCTTCTCCTACACCACCTACTCAGAAGCTGTTAAACGCTTGTTTTCCCCTGTTCAGAAGTAAATGAATGTTTGTGTAGTGGTTAGTGCAGGAAAACACAGTCCTTATGTCAATATTATTCTCCTCCCAGCTCCTCAGGCGTTTCAAACGCTACTTTATGTTCCATTACAACTTGGTTTCGTTTTTGGGCAGTGGTTTGTGGTGGCAGAGCTTGCAGAGTTCCCAGAAAGCCTGGATGAGTCCTGAGAGCCTCCTCCTTGCTGTGGAAGGGAGGTGCCCAGCAGCCGGGCTCGGGGTGCTGCTCCAGGCTCATTAATCACACATTAATTAATGGGCGTTTCCACCCCTGCAGACTGCCCTGAACATGATCACCCGGTGCCTCGCTGCAGACCTGAAATCAGACGGAATTCTCTGCATCTCCTTGCACCCAGGCTGGCTTCAGACAGACATGGGTGGGAACATGGTGAGTGCCAGTGTGGAAATGTCACAGTGGGTCCCTTGTGTGGGGGTGTTCTCAGGGCAAGGGAAGAGAGGAGAATCTTGACTCCATGTTTCAGAAGGCTGATCTATTATTTTATTATATATCTAACATAATATAATATCATTATCATATATTATATTAAAAGAATATATCATATATTATATTAAAAGAAAATGATCTATTAAAACTATACTAAAAGAATAGAAGAAAGGATTTCATCAGAAGGCTTGAAAGGAATAGAAAGGAATGACAAAAAATCTTGTGACTGACCATAGCGGGACTGTGATTGGCCATTAATTAAAAACAACCAACATGGACCAATCAAAGCTGCACCTGTTGCATTCCACAGCAGCAGATAATGATTGTTTACATTTCATTGCTGGAGAAAAGATCCTAGTAAAAGGATATTTCATAAAATATGTCCGTGACACCCTTGCTGCCCCCTGGCTGCACACACCCCTCTGTGGGCTGTGACACACCAAAATGTCACCGCTGAGTCAGAGATGACACACATAAATGAGTGACACACTCCATGCATGCTCTGAAGGCTGATAACTTTATTAAGAATTCCTTTTTATACTCCAGTTTGCTACAGAAAGGGGGCTAAGAAACCTCCCTTTTGTGAACAACTTTATGAGGAAAATAGCTTATTACAAAACATCACGTGGGGATTGTTTTAATTCTTTCTCTCCAGCTCCCTCAGAGCAATTAATGGGAAAGCTTATCTCGCTTTCTCTCTGACAAAAACACATCTCCCTTCATTCTAGAGCCTCCTGAAATGTATTTAATTATATTCAGCAGGATATTCCCAGTAATGACCTAGGCTTGATCCATTCCAGGCTCCCATGCAGGTGCAGGAGGCCATCCCAGGTATTCTCTCTGTTCTGGAACGTCTCGGTGAAAAAGAAAATGGTTCTTTCCTGGACTGGCAAGGGGAAACTCTGCCGTGGTAGAAGAGCACAGAACTCCACAGGAACAGCTCCTCAGCCACAGTTTAACCACTCCTGTCTGTCTCTAAGGGTTTTTTACACGCTTGTTGAAATAGCCATTGACACTCAGCCTCTCTGTGGGTGTGTTTGGGAAGCAGAGGGGCTGAGTGTTCCCCTTGGCATTGCTGCTGCTCTGCTCTAGCTGCAAACACTGCTGTGCTCTCGGTGATGGGCATCTCCCGGAGCCCTCTGAAATGGATCCAAACCTGCAGGTTAAATCCAGGGGCTGCTGCTTCCTTTCCACTTCCAAAGCCAGAGTGGGCTTCTGGCTCTTTGCAGAATTAAATGACCTGACCTCAGAGTAAGGCCAGTGGAGGCTTTGGAGGCTCAGTTACCTCCAGAAAAAAAAAAAACTCCTTTGATTCCCTTTGTTCCTAAGTGAGCCAAGGCTGAAATTGCCCAGCTCTAAACCAAGGGGATTTGTTACCTTCTGTGAATTCCGTGGCAAACTCTGAGCGTCCCCAGGTTGCCAGTGCGCACCAGGCACTTGCTTTGTTCCCAGTGGGTGACTAACAGCCTGATATGGGGGTGGGAATGTTGTTTTGTACATAAACTTCTGAAATGTCTTCAATAAAGTCTCAGTCTGTTTACCAAACTGTTTACTTAATTTAATTTCTCCTCCATAGGTTTCTCTTTCCTGAGAAGGGAACTTTATTCTTAATTTTCAGGAAGAAACTCTAACCCATGTTAACCTTTCATGGTAGTTGGGTTTGACACAGTGAGGCATACCTAAACCAGAGACAGACCCTTGTTCTGCTCTGAAATACAAGCAGCTGCTGAATAAATCTCTGGCAGACCCTTGTTCTGCTCTGAAATACTACAAGCAGCTGCTGAATAAATCTCTGACAGACTCTTGTTCTGCTCTGAAATACTCAAAGCAGCTGGTGAATAAATCTCCTGTGTTCTGGCTGAGGTAGGTACAAAAGCAAAAAGCTCTTTGAAGTTTGGGATTGGCTTTGACATCCCTCCCTCATGCCAGCTGATTAGGCCCTTTCATGCTGTGCCAGGATGGTGGGTTCCTGTGCCGAGGCAGGGAGGACAAACAGCAGCCAGGTGAGGGAGAGGACAGGTGTGGCTGTCCCTGGACAGCGGCCACCAGACCTGCCCTGGTACAGATAAGGTGTGGCAGGGAGAGGTGGCTGTGTGCCTTCCGTGATCCCTGCAGGGACAGCGACAGCTCACTGGAACAGCATCACAGGATCCTTCAGAGAATCACAGAATCATAGAATCCTTTACAGAACCACAGAATCCTTTACAGCCTCACAGAACCCTTCAGAGAATCACAGAATCCTTCACAGAATCACAGCGGGCTGTGGGGGACCATGAAGGGCCATAAAATTCCATGAGGGACCCAGATCAGCACATTGAGGAGCCAAAGGGCCATAAATGCCCTTGAAGACCGGCATCTTAAGGGGCTGTGAGGGACCATGAAGGGCCATAAAGGCTTGTGAGGGACCATGAACCATTAAGTGCCATGAGGGACCATGAAGAACCATAAAGTCCCAGCAAGGGCCACCCATGAGGGATGGAGACCAGCACCTGGACTCTGAGGGGCTGTGAGGGACCATGAAGAACCATAAAGTCCCATGAAGGGCCATAAACACCCATGAGGGACCATGAAGGGCCATAAAGGCCCATGAGGGACCGACACCGGCCCTTTGTG